CCCAAAATGCTGGGATTACAGGCGTGAGCCATGCACCCAGTCCCAAAAGTCCTTCTGATATAGGACTCTGCTATTATAGGAGTTCAAACCAGTCCAACCGAACAAGCATCACACATCTCTTCCACAGTCTCATCCCCTCCTTACCTAAAACTCCTTGTCTCCAGGAGCAACCTAGAAAATTTATACGATCATCAAAGAGCAGTTTTATCTCCCTCTAACCAAAGTCCTTTTTCAGAAGAGGGTCTTGTATAACTTTAAATAACAGAAGTGTGTTTGCATAATTCAAGAGCCAGCATGAGAAGTTTCCCAAAATTAAAGAACAGTCTTCTTTCAAAATGCATTCTTGCCATCCGCCTGGACAACATAGCAAGACCCCATCTCTACAAAAAAATTTTTAAATTATCTGGGCATGCTGGTAGACACTTGTGGTCCTCGCTACTCGGGAGGCTGAGGCAGGAGGATCCCTTGAACCCAGGAGTTCAAGGCCACAGTGAGCTGTGACAATGCCACTGCACTCCAGCCTAGGTGACAGAGCGAGGAGAGCCTGTCTCAAAGGGAAAAAAACGTGTTCTTGCCAGACAGAGGAACATTCAGGGTGGTGGTAGTTGTTTTAATATGTGAAAATGTAGCTTTTAAACAACGCTATTTTGGCCAGGCACGGTGGTTCACACCCATAATCCCAGCACTTTGGGAGGCCAAGGCGGGCCGATCACTTGAGGTCAGGAGTTCGAGACCAGCCTGGCCAACATGGTGAAACCCTGTCTCTACTAAAAATACAAAAATTAGCTAGGCATGGTGGTGGGCGCCTGTAATCTCAGCTACTCGGGAGGCTGAGGCAGGAGAATCACTTGAACCCGGGAGGCGGCGGTTGCAGTGAACCGAGATTGTGCAACTGCACTCCGGCCTGGGCGACAGAGCCACACTCCATCTCAAAAAAATAAAATATACTTGGTAGGTTAAAGCAGGAGAATCACTTGAACCCGGGAGGCAGAGGTTGCAGTGAGCCAAGATTGTGCCATTGCATTCCAGCCTGGGCAACAAGAGCAGAACTCTGTCTCAAAACAAATACAAATAAAATAACACTGTTTGGTTGCATCAGCTGTGCCTGATCAGCTGAACTTCCTCCCGGTCCCTGCCCCACTTTCTGAGTATGCTTAATGTATGGAGCCTGTCACCACCTGAATGCCCTAATTTAACCTAATCCCACTCCAAGCATTCCAGCTTCTCAGAGCTGTGACAACCTCCCCTTTCTGCCCCTTCCTGCTGCCTGTAACCTGCCTGACATCATCCTCTCCCAACCAGGCTGAATTGTTTGGTTCTGTTTTCGCTGTGGGGGTGACCATTATAGCATGATCTTAACTCATTCATTTATTTGTTGGCTTTTAATTTAAATCATACAATTTATGCAGGTAGAAAATCCAAGCGGTGCAGAAAGACATTAAATGAAAGGCCTGCAGTAGATAATATCTGGAGCAGCCAATGAGGCCTCCTTGTCACCAGCATCAAACCCCTGTGTAACCATTATCCTGCCCCACCACTCGGGCCTCAGTGACAGCTCTCCTTAGTCATAGCCCTAAACTGGGGGTGGGTATGAACAATAGACAATATAAGTCAGCTGCATTTCTGAATGGATTTTCAAACCTCTAACAAAAGCGAACTTCTGAAAGCCAAAACGTGATTCTAGATGGCAAGAGTCAGGCCATAGAGGAGAGAAAAGATTGTTTGAATTTCGAAGGTTTGACTTTCAACACCAACAGCCAACGTTTCCATGGTGGCAGATCATAGAGGTGACTGCCTAAGGCTGAGTCCAGAGGGGAGACAATAATCCAGGGCTAGCCTCACTGCATTGCAGAATGAGACACAGTTCCACTGGGGAGAGACAGGAGGATCAGAAAGTGAGTCATTGGCGTGGTTCATTGTAAAAGGGATCAGAGCTCTGCCCACTGATAGGGTCGAACTTCTGGGAACAAGGATGATTGAATGTGCATGGGGTTGGGGTTGAACAGAGCAGAAAGGGTTGTGCTTTGCTTCTCAGGTGAAGGGCAGGCAAAAGACATCAGGGAGACGCCCTTGCAGCAGCAGGCACCGGTGACAGAAGGCAGGGATGACAGCTGGTGTGTGGGCAAAGGGAGCCGAAGAAAAACTCTGCATCTCCCATCACCCCAAAGAGCAGCAAGAGAGTTATCTAAAGATTCCTGCATCCTCAGAGGTTTGTGGAAGAGGTAAGGTTGAGCCAGCAGACACAGAGGCATGGTCCATGTGGCAGGGGGATGCAGGGTGACCTGTGCTACCAGGAGCCTGCAGAACAGAAAGAAGTATGGACAGCTCAGGGGAGGAAGAGAGAGAAGGAGAAGCAGACCCTGTGAGGAGAAGGCCCCACTCCAAACAGATACATCATCCCCAAGAAAAGCAGGGAGAAAAGGGAAGGGAAAGAATCCAGAATCGATGGAGGCCAAAAAGGACAGAAAATCTAGCAGTGACTGGTGAGTCAGAGTCGGCCAGGTGGTTTTGTGCTGTTGGTGATAACGTGTGCACCACAGCATTGCCAGGGTCTGGTAGAGAGAACTAAGCAAAATTCCCGTGTGAGCCCTGGGGCTGTGGAACACCTTGTCTGCTCCTTGGGAACCTCCTTCCCTCCACCCACCTCCCAGCACCAGGAGCTGAGATTGCATCAGTGGAGGGGTAGCTGTGGTTCCCCGTCCTGGGCTCTGTCCATAAGGTAGGACAGACATCTGGACTAGTGATGGCCAGGGGATGGGAGCACAGAGGAAGGAGTCCAGAATTACAGAGGGACTTAGAACTGCAGGAAGTTCCTTTTTCTACAGGGAATGGAGCAGCCCACCCTGAAAGAAGTCATTCTGTTCTGTTTTGTTTGGAACAGCGTCTCGCTGTGTCATCCAGGCTGGAGTGCAATGGCCCAGTCTTGGCTCACTGCAACCTCCACCTCCAGAGCTCAAGCGATCCTCCCACCTCAGCCTCCCAAGTAGCTGGGACTACAGTCATGAGCCACCACACCTGGCTAGTTTTTGTATTTTTTGTACAGATGGAGTTTCGCCATATTGCCCAAGGCTGGTCTCGAACTCTTGGGCCCAAGCAATTTGCCCACCTCGACCTCCCAAGGTGCTGGAAGTACAGACGTGAGCCACTGTGCCTGGCCATGAAAGAAGTAATGTTTAAACTGAGATCTGAAGGATGAAGAGATTTTTACCTTTTTAAACATTTAATTGTATTATTTATTTATTTTAAGTAGAAATAGAGATAGGGTCTCACTATGTTGCCCAGGCTGGTCTTGAGCTTAACTGATCTTTCCACCTCAGCTCCCCAAAGTGCTGGGATTACAGGCATAAGCCACCATGCCTGGCCATTTAATTCTTTTATTTTATTTATTTATTTTTTTGAGACGAAATCTCGCTCTGTCGCCCGCCCAGGCTGGAGTGCAATGATGCGATCTCTGCTCACTGCAACCTCCGCCTCTCGGTTTCAAGTGATTCTTCTGCCTCTGCCTCCTGAGTAGCTTGAGATTACAGGCATGCACCACCACGCCCAGCTAATTTTTGAATTTTTAGTAGAGACGGGGTTTCACCATGTTGGTCAGCCTGGTCTCAAACTCCAGACCTCGTGATCCACCCGCCTCAGCCTCCCAGAGTGCTAGGATTACAGGCGTGAGCTACCACGCCCAGCCCTTTTATTTTTTAAATTGGCAAATAATTATTTATGTATTTGTGAGGTACAGTGTGATGTTTTAATATATGTGTAGTTATGGGATGATTAAATAAAGCGAATTAACATATCCATCACCTCAGATACATTTTTTTGTGGTGGTGCAAATATTTAAAATCCATTCTCTTAGCAGTTTTGAAATTTACATCATTGTTACTAACTTTAGTCACCATGCTACATAATCAGTCTGGAAAGCTTATTCCTCCTGTCTAACTGGAACCTTGTACCCTTTGACGTGTGTCTCTCACTCTCACTCCCTTGCTTGCCTGCTTGCCCCTAGCCTCTGGTAACCACCATTCTACTCTCGATTTCTATGAATTTGACTTTTCTTTTTTTTAGATAGAGTCTCACTCTGTTGCCCAGAGGCTGGAATGCACTGGCATGATCTCAGCTCACTACAACCTCCGCCTCCCAGATTCAAGCAATTCTTCCGCCTCAGCCTCCCGAGTAGCTGGGACTACAGGCACACGCCACCACACCTGGCTAATTTTCGTATTTTTAGTAGAGACAGGGTCTCACCATGTTGGACAGGCTGGTCTCGAACTCCTGACCTCATGATCCGCCCACCTCAGCCTCCCAAAGTGCTGGGATTACAGGCTTGAGCCACCACAACGGGCCGAATTTGACTTTTCTAGATTCCACATAGAAGTAAGATCATGAGGTGTTTGTCTTTCTGTACCTGGCTCATTTGAAGGATGAGTGGATTCTAAACCGGGGTGAGATGAGGACTACCAAGATGATCATGAAGGCCAGTGGAGCAGCATACAGGTCAGGGACAGAGGGGCAAACTCGGACCATGAAGGCAAAGCCGAGCAGACAGTGCCAGCCACAGGAGGATGGTGCAGTCACCCGAAATGTGTCCCATCATCTGAGCTGTCCCTCATTCCCAAGCTCCCACATGTTCACAGAGGCCCATCCTGACATACATGCTGCCTTTGAAGGTCTAGACAAATACCTGAGACATGCATGGGCAGTGTTGACTTCTCTGCACCCCAGATGTAGGTGCTCCTAGACTGGGAACCTCATCAGCTCTTCCTGGAGTGGACAGCAATCAGGTGGGGGTTCTCCAGCTGGTGGAGTGTTCTCAGCCTCGGGCCAAAATGCCTAAAAGTGGGATGGCCGGTGGCAGCTGTCTTTGGGCTCTAACCAGCTCCTGGGGCAGCAGGTTCCCATGGAGCCTGATGGACAGAGGTCAGGATCCCGTAGGGGAGGGCAACATGGCAGGATGAAGGCTGGGCATGGAGCCCCCTTACTGGGGCTCTCAAGGGCAGGCATGTTACAGATCAGGACATTGCAGGTCAGTCACCAGCTGCAGGACTTGGGGGAACATGGTCATCCATCCTGGGGACATACACAGATGGGCAGTGGGGGACAGCAAAAGTCCCAGGAGGTCAGACACCCCTAATCCCTTCAACAGTGCCCTGGCCTGGCCCTAGCAGCTCTCAAACCCTCCACACACAACCGTTGCAGGGTGGTCTCAAACCTGCTGAGTTCCTGTGCCTGCTTCTCCAGCTTGTTCTCCACACTGTACCATGTAGTGTCACTCACATTGCAGGCTGGAGGGAAGGGTGGCTCAGCACTCGCAAGGTTGCTCCCACCCCTGCCTTTGTCCCGAGAGCCCAACAGACACTTCCAGCCACACTCCTTGGGGGTCTCTCACCTGCTTGCTGTTCCCGATCATGTTTCTGGACCTTGACTTCCAGAGCAGTCAACCTTTTTTTGCAAGCTTCCACCTGAAAGATAGGGGAACTCAGTCCCCAAGAGTCAGTTCCCCCCAACTCCCCACCAGCCTCACTCCAAGCCAGGCTCACCCTGGGAATTCAGTGGCAGAACCTCACCCACATTGCTTGATGTGAAAGGGCTGAAAAGTTTTCAGGGCCTGCAGGTCCAGCTACGTGGAGAACCTGATCAGGTGGGAATGTGTTTGGGGTGATCAGAGCTGAGACTCATCAGGTGGCCTCTGTGCCAGCACTGAGCGAGGCACTCACACACAGTGTCTCCTTCAGTCCTCACAGTCACCCAGTGGGGCAGGCACTATCATAGTCCTGATGTTATAGAGGATGAAACTAAGGCTCAGAGAGGTAACATGATCTGTCCATGTTGTACAACTAGTAAGAAAGAGCCGGGATTCAACGCTCTGGTGTGTTTGACTACAAAACACCTAGTGCCTCCTCATGGATCCACCACCGTCGTCATCACAGTCCAACACTTCCCTCATGTCTGTCCCACAGTTGCCACACAACTGACCCAAAGCTGCCCTCATCACTGTCCCCAAACACTCTGCCATAATTGCCTGTATTAGTTCATTCTTGAACTGCTATAAAGAAATACCTAAGACTGGGCAATTTATAAAGAAAAGAGGTTTAATTGGCTCATGGTTCTGCAGGCTGTACAGGAAGCATGGTGGCACCTGCTTAGCTTCTGGGAGGCCTCAGGAAACTCACAATCATGGCAGAAGGCAAAGGGAAAGCAAGGCATCTTACATGGCTGAAGCAGGAGAAAGAAGCTGGGGGGAGGTACCGGCCAGGTGCAATGGCCCATGCCTATAATCCCAGCACTTTGGGAGGCCGAGGCAGGTGGATCACGAGGTCAGGAGTTCCAGACCAGCCTGGCCAACATGGTGAAACCTTGTCTCTACTAAAGATACAAAAAAATTAGCTGGGCACAGTGGTGAGCACCTGTAATCCCAGCTACTTGGGAGGCTGAGGCAGGAGAGTCGCTTGAACCTTGGAGGCAAAGGTTGCAGTCGGCCAAGATCACACCATTGCACTCCAGCCTGGGTAACAGGACAAGATTCCGTCTTGAAAAAAAAAAAAGAAAAGAAAAAGTAGGGGGAGGTACCACGCACTTTTATACAGAAAAGAGGTTTAATTGGTTCACACACTATCATGACAGCAGCACCAAGGAGAATGGTGTTAAACCATGAGAAACTGCTTCCATGATCCAATCACTTCCCACTAGGCCCCACATCCAAAACTGGGAATTACAATCGAATATGAGATTTGGGTGGGGACATAGATCCAAACCATATTATTCCACCCCGGCCCCTCCCAATCTCATGTCCTTTTCACATTTCAAAATATAAGCATGCTTTCCCAATAGTCCTCCAAAGTCTTAACTCATTCCAATACTAACTCAAAAGTCCACAGCCCAAAATCTCATCTGAGACAAGGCTAGTACCTTACACCTGTGAGCCTGCAAAAATCAAAAACAAGTTAGTTATTCCCAAGATACAATGGGGATATATGCATTGGATAAATATTCCCATTCCAAAAGGGAGAAATCAGCCAAAATAAAGGGGCTATAGGACGCACGCAAATCTGAAACCCAGCAGGGCAATCATTAAATCTTAAAGCTTCACAGTAATCTCCTTCGACCCCATGCCTCACATCCAGGGCACACTGCTGTGAGGGGTGGCCTCCCAAGGTCTTGGGCAGTTCCACCCCTGTGGCTTTGCAGGGTTCAGCCCCTGCAACCACTCTCATGGGCTGGTGTTGAGTGCCTGTAGCTTTTCCAGGCACAGGGTGCAAGCTCCTAGTGGATCTACCATTCTGGAGTCTAGAGGATGGTGGCCCTCTTCTCACAGCTCTACTAGGCAGTGGCCCAGTGGGGACTTTGTGTGGGGGTTTCAGCCCCACTTTTCCCCTCCACACTGCCCTAGGAGAAGTTCTCTATAAGGGCTCCACCCCTGCAGCAGGCTTCTACCTGAACATCCAAGGTTTTCCATATATTCTCTGAAATCTAGGTGGAGACTCCCAAGCCTCAACTCTTGTATTCTGTGCACCTGCAAGCTTAACATCACATGGAAGCCACCAAGACTTATGACTTGCACACTCTGAAGCAGTAGCCCAAGCTGTACCTTGGCCCTTTTTACCCACATCTGGAGCTAGATGCAGAGACCAGTGTCTCAAGGCTGTGTAAGACAGTAGGGCCCTGGGCCTGGCCCAGGAAACCATTCTTCCCTCCTAGGCCTCCAGGCCTGTGATAGGATGGGCTGCCATGAAGGTCTCTAAAATGCCTTCGAGGTTTTTTTTTCCCATTGTCTTCACTATTAGCACTTGCCTTCCTTTCAGTTATGCAAATTTCTGTGACCTGCTTGAATTCCTCCCCTGAAAATGGGCTTTTCTTTTCTACAACATGGCACAGCTGCAAATTTTCCAAACTTTTATGCTCTGCTTCCCTTTTAAATGTAAGTGCTAGTTTTAGATCATTTCTTTGCTCATGCATGTGAATATGTGCTGTTAGAAGCACCCAGGTCACATCTTCAACACTGCTGCCTAGAAATTTCTTCTACCAGATACCTTAAATCATCTCTCTCAAGTTCGAAGTTCCATAGATCCCTAGGGCATGGGCACAATCCAACCAAAATTTTTGCCGAGGTATAAAAAAAGTACCCTTGCTCCTGTTCACAATAAGTTTCTCATCTCCATCTGAGATCTCATCGGTCTGGCCATCTCTGTCCATATCACTACCATCATTTGGGTCACAACCATTCAACAAGTCTCTAAAAAGTTACAAACTTCCCCTCATCTTCCTGTCTTCTTCTGAGCCCTCCACACTTTTCCAACCTCTGCCCATTACCAAGTTCCAAAGTCGCTCCCACATTTTCAGGTATCTTTATGGCAATGCCCCACGTCTTGGTACCAATCTTCTTTATTAGTCTGTTCTCACACTACTATAAAGAAATACCTGAGACTGGGTAATTTATACACAAAAGAGGTTTAATTGGTTCACAGTTCTGCGGGCTATACAGCGAGGATGGTGGCATCTGCTTGGCTTCTCGAGACCCCTCAGGAAACTTACAATCATGGCAGAAGGTAAAGGGGAAGTATGGCATCTTACATGGCCAATGCAGGAGCAAAAGAGAGCAGGCAGGTGCTACATACTTTTAGACAACTAGATCTCACGTGAACTCACTACCATGACAGAAGTACCAAGGGGGATGGTGTTAAACCATGAGAAACTGCTCCCATGATCCAGTTACCTCCCAGCAGGCCTTCAGCATTGGGGATTGCAACTGAACATGAGGTTTGAGCAGGGATAGATTCAAACAACATCACTGCCCCACCATTGCTCCAACACTTTTGCAAGATTTTTTTCTTGCAGAAAAAAACTTTTTCTCTGACCATCCATTACTAAACCTGTACCTCACCCTTACCACCACACCACTGCACCCCCTTATTTCTGTCTTCTCTGTCCACCTCTGTGACCCTCATTTTGGGATCTGACCACACAGATGACAAACAGAAGTAGGAAGCCGAAGTCCAGGGACAGTAGGAGGAGGCAGGGCCCAGAGTGGAGATGCTGCAGGATGGACTGGGGAGGAGGCGGCCCTCAAGAGGAGGGGGCGTCAGGATGAGGAGGGTCCAGGACATGACAGAGATGGGAAGAGGAGAGGGTCCAGGGAGCTGTCTAGAGAGGAAGGCTGAGCATAGGGGACACCAGGAAAGGGCGGGATGGGAAGGATTTCAGGGTGAGGGATGGCCAGGCCTTTGACCTCAGGGACCAGCACAAGTCCTCAGTCACACAGGCCCCTCACAGCCGTGGGAACCCACAAACACACACACACACACAGCTGGGGGGATAATGGTGATATGTGAGGTCCCATGGTCAGAGCTGGGGGAAGGGGCAGAAGGACACAGGGAGAACTGGGGGCAGCCAGGCCCTTCATAGGCTCATGCTCATCTGTGAAAGCAGGTTAAATTATGGTCTCCTTTCCTAAATAACCCATGTTTTTCCTGCTCCCTGTCCCTGTGCCACTGAGGACCCTGACTCCCCTGAAGACGAGGACCACAGAGGCCAGGCCCTGAACCCTCAGAGAGGGGGATCTCCACAGTCCATACTGGAGTCACAGAAATGACCAGAACCAGAAGCCCTGGAGCTACCACACAGGGGAGACATGAGAACCCCTCATTGCAGATAGAAAGAGGCGCTGTTGGCCGGGCGCGGTGGCTCACGCCTGTAATCCCTGCACTGTGGGAGACTGAGGCAGGTGGATCACCTGAGGTTGGGAGTTTGAGACCAGCCTAACCAACATGGAGAAACCCCGTCTCCACCAAAAATATAAAATTAGCCAGGCATGGTGGCGCATACCTGTAATCTCAGTTACTCAGGAGGCTGAGGCAGGAGAATCACTTGAACCCAGGAGGTGGAGGTTGCAGTGAGCCGAGATCGTGCCATTGCATTCCAGCCTGGGCAACAAGAGAAAAACTCCATCTCAAAAAAAGAAAAGGAAAGAAAGAAAGAGAGGAAGAGAGGAAGGGAGGAAGGGAGGAAGGGAGGAAGGGAGGAAGGGAGGAAGGGAGGAAGGGAGAAAGGGGCACTGTCTCAGAGAGGAACCATCCTTAGACTACAGACCTCCTGGGCTTCACACGTTAGCGAGCCCTCACTGGCCCTCCTCTGATTCCATCCCTCCCTGTGGGACGGGAATCTCCAGGGCCAAGGTGATGTGCTCACCCCAAGCCATGCCTGCCCTTCTAGGCCATCCCCTGGGTACCTGGGAGCCCATATCATCCACCCAGGCAGCTGTATACTTGTCTTCCCTGGGCCCGTCCCCTGGGTGGCAGACCCTGCTGCTGGTGTGCACACGCTGAGGCCCAAGCAGTAGCCATGAGCAGGGGTTTGGGGGTGAATGGAGGGTGTGGACCATGCTGAAGGTGTCCTCACGTGTCCCCCAGGCTCCTCAAGGTCCAAGACTGAGCTGGGGGAGGGGAGCAAAGGGAAGTTGGCTCAAGAGGAACTAGTTCAGGCCTCTGCAAACTTTGAGGGGCGGGCCTGTCTCTGGGGGCTTCTGCTTGTCTTACCTTTTCGTTTTCTTTATTTTTTTCTTTTTTTTTTTCTTGAGACAGAGTCTCACTCTATTGCCAGGCTGGAGTGTAGTGGCGTGATCTCAGCTCACTGCAACCTCCGCCTCCCGGGTTCAAGCGATTCTCCTGCCTCAGCCTAATGAGTAGCTGGGACTACAGGCGAGTGCCATCACCCCGGCTAATTTTTGCATTTTTAAGTAGAGAGAGGGTTTCACCATGTTGACCAGGATGGTCTTGATCTCTTGACTTTGTGATCCACCCGCCTCGGCCACTCAAAGTGCTGAGATTACAGGCGTGAGCCACTGCACCCAGCCCAATTTTGTATTTTTAGTCGAGACGGGGTTTCACCATGTTGGCCAGGCTGGTCTCGAACTCCTGACCTCAGGTGATCCACCCACCTTGGCTTCCCAAAGTGCTGGGATTACAGGCATGAGCCACCACACCTGGCCTGTCTTACCTTTTCTAAGATCATGTTCCTTCTCACTCTAAGCACTTGAGGTCTTCACACTTCATTGATATCTTGGCCCAAGTGGTCTCTGTGGCTGTGGGAGCTGAGATGGAGGCAGAGAAAGTACTGCAAGGGGGAGCCTGAAATAAGGGCTGAAAGTGGGTGTGGAGCTGGTTTCGAGGTAGGAAAGGAGGATCTGATAGAGGCTGAGCCAGGCGTGAGGACTAGGAGTGTGGATGGGGCTGGGTTTGCAGGTGAGGTTGAAACAGGGATCACAATTGGGGTTGTATCTGGGGTGAGGATGGCATTGATGTACTTGGGGCTAAAAATCAGACTGGGTCTCAGGCTAAGATTGTAGACAAGTTTCCTCTGGGGTTGGGTCTGAGTTTGGGGCTAAGATTGGAAACACGTGGGGCACAGCGTGGGGGTGTAGTACAGCTAGGCTGGAGCTGCAGTGGGGACAGAGATTGAATTTAGGGATGAATTTAGAGCCAACGTTGGGACTGAAATTGGGGCTGGAACTGGGATTGATTTGGTTCGGGGCTGTCCAACCCAATCTGGAAGTCAGTGGAGAGATCGTTTCAATCTCCTCCAATGACTAGTTCAATCTGTGATCCATCTTCCCAGTTACTTCCACCTATAACACAAAGTCGTCCTCTCCGTATTTTCCCTAATGCCCTCCCTGCCTCCCCAGTCCAGTTACCTGTATAAAACTAGAGAACGGAACTGTTGGCTTTTCTTATCTAGCACAGTTGCCAGGTCAGGAAATTCTGGAGGGAACTGCCTTGTATTGGTTCTCCTGCTGCCCTCTGCATTCTGTGGCGCTGGTAGAACTGGGATCTAACGCTCCTGTGGGGTGGCTTCTCTTCCATGATCCAAAATCTTTCAGACCCAGGGGAAAGAGGGACACAGCTGCTTGGGTGGGTGATCTGTGCCTTCAGGCCTCAGAGTGGTGATGCCTCTGCTGTTCTTAGCCACAGGGACTTCAACTTTTGTTGGTTTCCTGAACCCTGCTCACACTCTGTAAATGTCATTAAACTCTTTTCAATAAACCCTTTTGTGGCCAAGCACTGCAGCTCATACCTGTAATCCCAGCAGTTCGGGAGGCCGAGGCAGGACAATCGCTTGAGCCCAGGAGTTCGAAACCACCCTGGGCAACATAGTGAGACTATCTCTACAAAAAAATAAACTTAGCCAGGCATGGGGACACACACCTATAGTCCCAGCTACTCGGGAGGCTGAGGAGAGAAGATTGCTTGAACCCAGGAGTTTAAGGCTGCAGTGAGCTATGATCGCACCACTGCATTCTAGCCGGGGTGACAGAACAAGAACCTGTCTCTCTATCCATATGTAGAGAGAGAGAGAAAGAGAAAGAAATTCTTTGGTTTTGACACCTGTATCTTGCTGGAACTGATTTTAAAAAACATTTGAATAAAATTATAAATGTCTACTATGGTACACAGAAAAATAAAAAAGAATAAACTCTATTTGGAAGTCTAACAGCCTCCTCAAACTCAACATGTTCAAAACAAAGCTTCTTATCTCATCCCACCCACAAAACCAGCTTCTCACACAGTCTTCCCCATCTTAATTAACTGGGACTCCATCCTTCTAGGTTTTCAAGCCCCAAACCTGGAATTATCCTTGACTTTCTCATTCTCCCAAACCCCTCAGACAACCCATCAGAAAATCCTGACATAACTGAGACATTCCCATAGGTCAGGGAGATTTCTGGGTACAGTAATACAGCAATGAATGGGTCCTGCCCTCGCTTAATGAACTTAAAAAGTTGGTTCTTAACAGCTGAGATGCAGCCAGGTGCAGTGGCTCACGCCTGTAATCCCAGCACTTTGGGAGGCCGAGACGGGCCTATCACCTGAGATCGGAAGTTTGAGACCAGCTTCATCAACATGGAGAAACCCCATCTCTACTAAAAGCACAAAAGTAGCCGGGCATGGTGGCGGGCTCCTGTAACCCCGGCTACTCGGGAGGCTGAGGCAGGAGAATCACTTGAACCCAGGAGGTGGAGGTTGCGGTGAGCTGAGATCACACCATTGCACTCCAGCCTGGGCAACAAGAGGGAAATTCTGTCTCCAAAAAAAAAAAAAAGAAAGAAAAGAATTAAAATAGCTGAGATGCTTCCCCTGGTATATGCCGAATTGATAGAAAAAATAGAAATCTCCACCCCTCTCTATATCCATTCTCTATACAATATGAATGACTTTGTAGATCCTCCCCACCCCCCACTAAAAGGTGGGACCTATTTCTCTGATACTTGAACCTGAGCAGCCTTGGAATCTGCTTTAGCCAATAGGATGCAGAAGAAATGATGGTTCAGTTCCAAACAAGGCTCTGAAGTCCTTGCACTCTTCCAATTTCTCTCTTGGACCCCTACCCAGCCATTCTGTGAACAAGGCCAGGCTAGGCTAATGTGACCCAGTCATCCCCATTGTCCCAGCCCAGAGCCAGCCAAATATGAGACATGGGAGCAAGGCTACCCTAGACCAGCCAACCCCCAACCCACCAGCTGACCACAGATGCATGAACAAGCCCAGCCAAGATGACCCAAACCTGGCCAGACTGGACCTATAGCCTCATGAGCTATAATCAATGCTTATTGCATAAGCCCTGAGCTTTGGGGTGGTTTGTTACACACCAACTGCTAACCAATACACCTGGGGATCTTACCTACCTCTCCCAATAACTCTGGGATCTTCAGATAAATTAAACAATGGCTTTTCCTAAACATCCTACATTTATACCATCTTTAAGTGACAGAAAAGATTTGAACTCAAATCTGTATGAGAAGAAAATGCTATTTTCTCAATTGCATAGGACTTTCGAAGGCTTCACCTGGCTTCTCCACTCTGCCATTTTTAAATTGCCAAAAATCAAGCAACACAAAGTACATAAGTTCTCACAAGAATATATATTCACTTATATGAAGTATATACACTACAGTGTATGATTTCACTTATATGAAGTTCTAGAAGCTCTAGAAGAGGCAAGGCCAGTTAATAGTGGAAAAACGGTAGACCACTAGTTGCCTGGAAACAGGGAAGTGGTTGGACTGCCTAGAGGCATGAGGGTGGGGGCGATGGCAGTGTTACCTATTGCGATCAGAGTGGTAGTCACCTAGGCACGCATATTTGTCAAAGTCATCTCTACTCTTTAAATGAGTGCATTTTTATTCTGTAAAAATTATACCTTCATGAAGTTGACTTTCAAAAGTTGGAAAAAAAATAAAAGCTTAAGAACTCTATACTATCTTTTTAAAGTTAGGGAGAAAAAACATTCAAAATGTTGGCAGTGCTCCCAGTCTCCCAGGGCTTATTCCTCTGCCAGAGCGGTCTTGAGGGGAGGTCCTGGGTAGAGTCCTCCTCCCCACCGCCGTTTCTGCGGCCAGGTGGTCCCACCAAAGGCAACTCAGTGACTCTCCTGGCTGGCCTGGGTCAGACCAGCCTCGCAGACCCAGTAGTAGGGCCTCTGGCAGACGTCGTCATTCCACCTGCCGTCTGGGTGGAAGTGGGCACAGTCCTCGCCTCCGCCCAGCCCGTGCCCCTGCCAGTCGTCTGGCTGGCCTGGCTTCCAGTTCCTGAGAGGAGAAGACAACAGCAAGCTAGGAAGGGTAGGTGGAGTGGAATTCAGTTTAGGGGAGGAGAGGCTGGCAGTCAAATCCCTGGGGGGCAGCGCTGATTGAGGACATTGGCACAGAAAGCCAGAGTGCACTCACTGGAAGCCGGTCTCATAGTCTGTTCCATCCACCCACTTCCAGGCTCCTTCACGGTCACTGAGGCCCATCCAGGTGTATGCGAAGCTTAGATGTTCCTGGACAAAATTCTGGGTTGACAGAGGGGCAGTGGTGACTTCTTCCCATCCCAGCCAACTCCTTAAAGCAGATTCTCAACTTTAGCTCTTCGTTAAATCAGCTGAGGAGTTTGGGGATGTTTCTCTGGATGCTCAGGCCTATTAAATCGCTGAGGGTGTGGCACAGATGACAGTCATTCTGGAAGCTCCCAGATGATTCCAATGTGTGGCCAAGATTAAGAACTATTTCCCTAAATGGGACTTGTCTTAGGAACTGAGTACCAGAAGCCCTCACCTGCTCCTCCCTGGAGTTGATGACCACCAGGTGGGCGTTCTCCAGCTGGCAGTGCTTCTCAGCCTCGGCCCAGGGCATCGCAGAGCGAGAGAACCAGTAGCAGCTGTCTTGGTGCTCCACCCAGTTGACGGGGCAGCAGGTCCTTTCAGTAGAGGCTGAGTGGGAAGAAATAGAGTGGAGAGGTTGAGGCTCTGCCCATTGGGCCGTGGACAGAAAAGCAGGGCCGGGTACTCCCCACACCTTCCTCACCATTGTTCTTGAGAGTAGCCACCTGGCAGGTCAGTTTATTCAGGTCTTGCATCCACAGTGCACCACCAATTCTAACATCATCAGTCACATTCATCATCACTCCATCAGTGCCCCAAATCACCATTCGCATGTATCAGTCATACATCAGTGCCCGCGACCTTCCCATGCAGCACCCAATCAGTGCGCCATGACCATTCCGCCCAATCCACTCCATCATGCCCCACACCATCCCATCAATCATTCCATCATGCCCCCACCATTCCCATCAATCACTCCATCAGTGCCGCCCATCACCATCATCAAATCATCCATAGGGTCCCCGTTCCCATCAATCACTCCTCATGCCCCCATCATGCTTTCAGTGGCCCTGTGTGACCTGCTTGGTTCCATCGGACAAGTTGGGTTCTGTAGCATTGGCCCTCACCAATTGCCCGCCATTGTCATCTCCACAGCTGCCCCAACACTGTGCCCTGCATTGCTCTTACTGCAGCCTCACCTCTTGCCTACTGAGCTACCCCATTATTATATTCACCCCCATTATTTATCTCTTCCCTGTCCACCCCGTGACCCCCACTTTGGGATCCAACCACATTCAGATGAACAGCACAGGAGACAAAGGCCAGGGACAGCAGGTGGAGGCCGGGCCCAGAGCGGAACGCTGCAGGAGGACGGGGGGCCCCGGGCGAGGGTCAGGAGAGGGTTCAAAGACATGACGTAGGTGGAAAAGACGGCCCAGGGAGCTTTGAGGAGGGCTGGACAGGGACACCAGGGGGGGGGTGGACAAGAGATTCAGAGGAGGGCCCGCCCTTTACTCAGGGACCCAGCCAAAGTCCTCAAGTCACACAGCCCCTCACCCCATGGACCCACGTGCACCACCACAGAGGGGCGATGGCGGATTATAGAGGGTCCATGCAGACTGGC